CCCCCGTCTCTTTCTGTCTTTGCATCTATATCTGTACATCTCCCTCTGTCGCACCAGACTCGTTCCCTCCCTCCCTCTCTCCCTCTCTCTTTCTTGTTCGGGGTTATGGGCATACACTGACTGCCAGACTTGAATAGGGACTTCAAGCACACAATTTCATCACCAGGGCTCTTGTCATCCATCTAAAATATTGAGACAGTGCAACAAGTAGAAATCACACGAGAGACTGTCCTCTTTACGTCTCCCAGGTAGAGGTGAAAACGTTGGTTGACTTCAAAGTATTTCGTAATCACATCGGAGTTCTTATTTCGAGAGCTCGGTAATCTTGCCATCGTTCGCACAAACCCTTAAAACTTTACCATTATTCACCGAAAGCCGTAAAATTTCAACCATCATTCAACAAAACTCTTGAAGTTTTAACCATCGTTAACCAAAACCTTTTAAGTGAAACCCTCTTTCACCCAAACCATTTCATTTTAACAGTCACTCGAGTCAACCCAAATAAGGCCAATTATACGAAAGAAAAACAAGCTTAAAATGCAGAAATATTTAACAGTACATCATACTCATGTACTTTAAAGTATGTTGAAGCAAGCAAAGATCAAAGACTTGGCGAATAGGCATGACGTATGAAAGTGAGGCTTTAATTAATTATGCTCATTCATTTCTTACAAAACAGGGAAAGATGTACTAGGCCTACGTCACTGGACTCTTTAGCTGTCATTTCTTTTACAAGACTGATGAACAATCTGAGCAAAACAGAAAAAGAAAAAAAAAAGTATTCACAGGCATCATGACGCAATGTTCAAAGGCTCTACCTTTTACGTTAAAAACAGACGATGCATTAACAACAAAAAATCTACAAAGACCAAAAATATAACCAAATAATTATACGTTGAAAAAGAAATAAAAGTTGGTTTTATTTTAAATCATCTCACGGCTAATACACGTGCGTCAGTAATTTAAATACAATTTCTAATCTGAAGCCTGAAGATGTCACATGATAGAAAAAGACGAGTTAAACAATGCAAGTCACATAAACTCATTTATTATAACATGGGTCAATTATGGTACCGACTTCTAACAAAATGACAAAAAATAAAATATTGTTAAGTACAGGAGCATTTTAATCCTTTAAGTTCAAGGTAGTTCGAGGAGCAAGACGTGTGTATTTTCGAAGTACACGCATGGAGGGAGAGGGCCAGGAGGAGTGTATGTACACACATGTGTGTGTGTGTGTGTGTGTGTGTGTGTGTATGTGTGTGTGTGAGTGTGTGAGTGTGTGTGTGTGCGTGTGTGTGTGTGTATGTGTTTATGTTTGTGCT